ACAAATGGCACAACCCTGACCGCAAATGGCTGCTGAGCTTGAATCTAGAACTTCAGGGCTTCTATCCTGGGATCGACTAAGAAGTGGAGACACACCTTCGGAAGCATCACAAGAGTAGAGCAAAAAATTGGAGACGAGAATATATGAGCTGAATGATCCTATCTTATAGATGAGGCGTTTTATATAGCATTTTAATTGTTTCTCATTAAAAATGTGATCTGGAAATTGTAGGGAAAAGAATCTATTATAAATATACGATGGAATTCATATAAATTGAAGAAGGTCTCTTAGCATGTATGACTTAATAAATACTGTAGTGTTATATGTTTGGAAAGAAAACTGTAGAACACCAGGCCTCACCATCCCAAGCTTGTCAAGGGTGTGGGACAGAGGAATGGGCATCACTGTGGAAGTGCCAACAGGTACAGTCGCTTTGGAAAACGGCTTGGCATGGCACTCCTAAGTAAATTCCCACAAGACTGCATTTCTCTGAACTGGAGGAACGTGTGCAGAGTAATCCCAAGAGGTAGTTCAGCAGAGCGATAGAACTTACAATAGGACTGATAAGTAAATTACCATTGTTCTAGTCAGCTTTTTCGCTGCTGTGACCAAAAGACCTGACAAGAACAATTGTAGAGGAGGAAACGTTTGTTCAGGGACTTCAGCTGACTCCATTCCTCGGGGCTCAAGGTGAGGCAGGAGGACATGGGGCAGAAGATTGTAGGGGAGGAAAGCAGTTCAAGACTTCACACCAGGATGCAGAGAGAGCTCTGCTCAACACAGACAGAATGTAAACCCCCAAGGGAGGCCCCCAGGGACCCGCCTCCTCCAGCCACACCCCACCTGCCTACAGTCACCACTCGGTTAATCCCTATCAGGGGATTAATCCACTGACTGGCTTAAGGGTCTCCTAATCCAATTGTTTCACCTCTAAACCTTTTTGTGTTGTCTCACACCTGAGCTTTGGGGAGACACCTCATATCCAAACCATAGCAATGAGACAATATATTCCCACAACGAAATAATCTAGAAAACTGAAAATGAGCAAACAACTACTCACGATATGGATGGTTCTTAAAAGCAGAAGGTTCAATGAAAGAAATGTGACATGAGAAGATAGACCATAGGAATCATCCATCCATATAAAGTTAAAAAATGATTTTAGAGTACACGTACACATAGACTCACCAGAAAGAAAGGTATCAGGACGGTTGCTATTTCTAAGGATGTGAGAAGACAAAGGACTCACAGAGTTTTGTTTCAGTGTTTTTTAGTCTTTAAAATGGGAAATGTTGCTCATAATATTTTGTGCATTAACCCAGGTGGTAAGTATATGGATAAGTCCTTTGTAAAACATGTGCAGTTTGCATTAAACTGTAATATATAGAGTGTGCTTTTCCTCATTAACAATATTCTTTACAACTAGAAGAGGATAAATTATCTTTGTTCTATAATATACTTGATACAATGAAAAATTCAAGTGCATTACAACGTTTAATTTAAAAACACAAAGTCATACATCAACTAGAGGGAAATATAAGCAAATAAGTGCCTAACACGAGAGCTAAGTGGCTAGGAATTACTTTTCCAAGCATATGAGTAAAGGCAAAAACCATGAAAGAAAAAAAAGTGGGTGGATTTTATTTCATAAAAATGCAAAAGGTCCTGTACGCTGAAATATTAAATAATAAAATAAAAGACAATATAAGGGCAATCGACATCTGGGGAGAGGAAGATACTAGGCAATGTTGAGATGCATCTGGCTTTTGTGAATTTGGAAGAGGGCAAGAATAGACTTATACTCACAACAACTGATTAAATTAAATGTTATAACAGCCTCTTTTTTTTTTTTTAATTGGTACCAGGGATTGAACTCAGGGGTGGTTAACTACTGAACCACATCCCCAGTCTTTTTTATATTTTTTAATATTTTATTTTGAGACAGGGTCTCACTTTGTTTAGGTCCTCCTTAAGTTGCTGAGGGTGGCTTTCTACTTACAATCCTCCTGTCTCAGCCTCCTGAGCCGCTGGGCTTACAAAAGGGCACCACCCTTTTGTAAGGAATTACCACCTGTTTGGAGTAGACCTAACTTCTAACTTCCTGAGCCTAGATAGTGCACCAGGGGACAGCCAACATGCAGAGGAGCTTCTTGGGCCTCCCAATTCTGTTCTCTGAAACTGAAATTTGGGCACCAAGATATAAGATAGAGGCTGGGTGCAGTGGCGCAGGCCTGTAATCCCAGCGGCTTGGGAGGTTGAGGCAGGAGGATCGCAAGTTCAAAGCCAGCCTCAGCAATAGCAAGACACAAAGCAACTCAGTGAGACCCTGTCTCTAAACAAAATACAAAATAGGGCTGGGGATGTGGCTCAGTGGTCAAATTTCCCTGAGTTCAATCCCTGGAACCCCCCCCCCCCCACACACACACACACACAAGGTATAAGATAGAGCATCTGCTCACTGTTTCTGGTGTGAGAATATAGAGAGTTTGAAAGTGGCAAGTTCGAAATCCTGGGATCTTAGAATCTCTCATTGTAGATATAGTTTAAAAATACTTTTCAAGGGATAATAACATTTTTGGTAGGAATTGGAAAAAGTGTCCTGGAAAACATCTTCATCTTCCTGAATGAGAACTACAAAACTGAAATTAGTAAAGAAATTTCAAGAAATGAGCCAAATGTATCATCATCAATTAGTCTAATAGCTCAGTGGTAGAGAACTTGCCTAGCAGATGTGGGCCCCAATTTGGATTCCCAGCATCATCATGAAAAAAAAAATAGCCAAAAGAACTTAAATCTTAAATCAACTTAAATCTCCCAAGTATATTTATGATGATTGTGAGTGCATTTGGAGCTGTTTGATGGGATTACAGTATTACAGTATTCAGGTGAATCACAGAATTCAGGTGAAAATTACAGTATTCAGGTGAATAAAGGTTGGTGATGGGCTTTTGACCTGGTGTGGTCAAATTATAATATTGACTACATTCTTTCCAAGGACACAAACTGTTTCTTTGGTTATGTTCTTATCCTTTCTATCCTATCTTGAGGGTGTGACCCACTTATCCATCAGCTGTTTCAAGTAGGCATTTTGGATATAAAGGGATTAACTAAAGAGTGGATAGTGAAAGGATTTGGCAGTGATGATTTATCATTTTCTTTTCCAGTTTCTTTCATTAGATATAATTTTTTTCCTTTCGTTTACACAGATTTTTAAGAAAATCAGCCATCCTGGGCCAGATGACAGGGAAATTTTGTTATCAAAGATAACAAAAGGGAAGGGCTGGGGTTGTGGCTCAGTGGCAGAGTGCTTGCCTAGCATGTGTGAGGCACTGGGTTCGATACTCAGTACCACATATAAATAAATAAAAAATAAAGGTACATCAACAACTAAAAGATCTAGCTGGAATAGATCGTACCAGCTATGATATTTCTATAGATCACATAAAAATGTATATAGTTATTCAATGTATCAAGCATTGAGCACCTACTATGTCCAGGCATGGTTCTAAAGACAGGGAATTCAGCAAAACTAAAGATAAAATCCCTGTTCTCATCTGGGGGACATAATTAAACAGTAAATATATACCATGTCAGCTACTGATTAATATACTAAGAAGAAAATAAAGAAAAGAGGAATCAAAAGTAATTGCCATCCTATTTAACTAAGATGACTGCAGGAAGGTTTCTCTGACAAATTCAGAGTTTGGGGTGTGACATTCAGGAAGTTCTTGGGGAAACTGCTACCTCTTGATTGATTTGTTCTTAGTTGCCCAACTTCTTCGTAAAATTCATAGGGGATGAGGAACATGCATTGTAAATGATAGTGAGTATCAGTTTATTATAATAATTGTATAACATTATGAATTTTATAAGGCAATAACTTCCCCATGTAAGAAAAAAAATATTCCAAACTCCCGGCGGGAGGGGGGGACTTCATGGCACAGTTCCTGGCAATCCTAATTAAAAATGGGACTGGGACCCTACAAAGGAGCAGGCGTTCCTCTTCTGCAAATTCAGGAAGTGCATGACGGTTCGCTTCAGTTCTCTCATCTGTAAACGGGAGATAATGGGAATATGAATAATTTCGGGAGTTTCATGTTGCTACATTGACATCTATGGAGTCACCTCTACTGAGACACATTGAATCATTTGTGAGGCATGGCCTCAAAGCCTGGAAATGTATTCATTCATTTAATCCATGACAACTCGGTCAACCAAGGACTATTTTTAACCGCGTTTTACAGCCAAGGAAAGTCAGGCAGAGAGGAGTTGAACCCAGAAGCCCTCAACCAGGGCGCCAACCCAGACGACTTGGCTCCAGCTCCTGGCGGTGCTGTTAACCCGGTTCGCCCTGTGCGTAAATCTATTTGGAGCTGTGGCTCCTTGTAGTGATACCTGAGTACCTACTCTGTCCAGGCATTGTTCTGCAGAGAGGGAATGCAGCACACACCGAGATAAAACCCCTGTTCTCGTCTAAAAAGTAAACCAACAGCCTGTCAGCTCTAAATGCAATAAATTGCCCCCATTCAATTGCGTTATCAACTGTGGGCAGAGGCAGCTCCGGAAATTCTGCTTACGAAGAATCCAGGGTAGCCAGTTTGTCCGAAAGGGAAGTTGGGGAGTGCTTGCGTAGCCACCGTCTTGTACTGCCCAGGGACATAAAACTTATTTAAATGGGGGGAGGCTTCGGTGGTGGCTGGGGACTGTGGGACAGGGGAAGGCAGCCCGCCACCCCCAGGGCACGCCAATCAGCCGCAGGGAAGCCACCCCGGGCAGCAGCTGCCAAGTGAGCTCCCCTCCCGGAACCGCCCCGTGAGCCGGTCCTCCCAGAGCCTCAGCCTCACCCCCCCTACGGGAGGCAGATGGTCTGGCCCGTTCTCGGGCTAGTTCAGGTTCCGCGCTCCGAGTCACAAAGCGCAGGGTCACGTGGGCGGGCCGGTGCGCTTTGTGACGCCACGGCCCCGCCCCTCGGCCCGCCTATCCGCGCACACCGGCTCCGCCTCGCGCGCGCCGCCCGTGCAATCCCTGCTTAGAGACCCCGGAGTGGGGCGCTCGCCCGAAGCCAGGCCGCGTCCGCCATAGTGCCTGGCTTGGAGGTGTCGCCGTCGCTGGGTGAGGGCCCGAGAGCGGCAGGGGGGCAAAACAAAACAGGGATCCCGCGAAGCCCTCACCGCCGCCCGGCCATTTCCGGGCTCAACTGGTCGCGGTTCTGGGCCTAAAGGCGACGGGAGCGAAAGGCGAGAGAAGCTCGGAGGAGGATCCGGCGAGAGGAAGCGTCAGGGAAGCCTCGGCGGTGTCCCCGGGGTCCGCCGAAGCCACCCGGCCGCTGGCTGGGGCCCGGGGTGGTGAGGAAGTGCTCCGAGGCCTTGCGGAGGCCCAGCGCCGGCTTTGTGTCGAGGCGGCGGCGGCGGCGGGGGGGAGGCGGAGCCCGAGCCGGGGGCGGCCTGCGGAAGGCCTCTCCTCCGCCGACCGCGCGTCCTCGGCCTAGGCCGCGGGCCGCTCGTGGCCGCCGGGGAGCAGGCGCCAGGGTGTGTGTGTGGTGGGGGCCTGGGCCTGGGGAAGCTGACGCCGGTCGTCCGGAAGCCAGCCGGAGGCGAGAGGCCGCTCGAGGACTCCGGGCCTAGGCCCTCTCCCCGCAACCTTCTCCCGGGGCCTGGGTCACCCCCATCCACGGAGAGAGACCAGCCGGGAGGTGCGGCCGCGCTATGGACCCCTGACCCCGCGGGGGCACCCGGACTCTAACGTGTGGACTGACCGCTACTGACTGCACTGCCGGCCCTTAGCATGAGCGAGGGGGACCCAGCCGGGTGACATTGTGCCCGTTGGAGGATTCTCGATTTCCCCCCTTCCCGGTCCTCGTCCTCCTCCTCCCACATGAAGCGCTTCTGAGTGCCGGGGGGGTTCTGGATTATTGTTCTCACGCACCCCTGCTTGTGGTTGGGGGGTATTTAATCTGAGGCCTCAGGGTCCTTCGGTGTCTCTTTTGAGTGTTTTCTGTGTGTACATATTTTGCTCTTCCGTTTTATAAATATACATATATTCAGAGTGTCCACGTCTCCTCGCTGAACCGTAGGAACCCTTTGGCACAATGTCCTGTGTGCATTATAAATTTTCCTCTAAACTCAACTATGATACCGTCACCTTTGATGGGCTCCACATCTCCCTCTGCGACTTAAAGAAGCAGATTATGGGGAGAGAGAAGCTGAAAGCTGCCGACTGCGACCTGCAGATCACCAACGCGCAGACGAAAGAAGGTAAGGGCCACCTGGGCGCCAGGTGTCTGCTGGGTGGAGGTGGGTGGCCGAGCCCTGGTTGTAAGGTGCCTGGCAGGGGACTAACCGCCATTCTGGTTCGTTCTAATACTTCCGATCCAACTTTTCATTGATGGCCAGGGGGTTGCAGCAGCCGACCTTGCAGTTTCCCAGCCCTGGGTGATTTCTGCAATGCTGGGGTCTTCTGGAACAGGCTAATCCGAAAACGTGGAGATCTGGTTATTCCCGATTTTTTTTTGTTTTTTTAAATGGGGAGGGTGGGTCGAGAGAAGGGGACCTGGCTGTTATCTGTGGCGTTTTCTAACTTGTTTGAAATCAGAATGGGAGCAGAGTCTAGGCAATGTTTCTTTCTTGTTAAGGCAGTAGTAGACATAACATGAATTTTTTACCCAAGAACCTTTTGGAGGTTAATAGCAAATTGTGTGTACCTTCCCCCCCCCCCCTTATTTATTTGTTTATTTTGGAGTTGCCTGTGTTGTAGAGAAGGGATCCTTGCTTTAATATTTTTTAAAGATTTTAATCAGTGTCGGGATTGTTTTTGGAATTTGAAATGTTCTGATGTCATCACTCTTGTCTTTTGTGTAAATTCCAGAATTTGCAATACAGTAATTGAGTGGTTGACCTCTTAGTTTATCGTATGACTCTTAAAATTTAGCAATTCAGTCAAGCTCCAGAATACTGACATTTCTTCTTTAAAGTGGTAATTGCTAGAATTTCTTTGGCTCTGAAAAATAGTGAACTCTTCTGTCTTGTGAGTACAGGTAAACACTGATTAGAATCTTTTGAGTTCTTTCTCTATTTTAAAGATATTTTGTAATATTTGGAATTTAACAGTAAATATGTGACCCAGGAGTCCTGTCTGAATCTGAACTCGTTTTGGTTTCTTTTTCTCAGTGTAGTAATGCTGATGTGTAGTTTTCAAATAGATCAGTCTTCAGAGATTTATTGATGGGGGATGCAAAGAAATGGGAATGAAGTTCTAATATGGTTAGGGTAATTTTTGATCACCAAATTCCTGGTAAAGTATGGCATGAGCTTTTTATATTTGGAAATGAAGGTTCCCACCTCACCTGGAGTTTGGTAGATGAGTAAGTTTTATCATATAGAAGCAGAAAAAAACATTCATTAAGGAAAAACTATATTTGCTCACATAACATGCAAAAAACAAATTGCCCCCCTTATTTTTTTAACAAGGGTCATACCCTTTAAAAATTGTCATCATCTGTAATGTCCCTCTGCTTAGGGAAAGGGACAGATAGGAAGTAGATTTTTTTTGAAGTTCACCAGAAGTATCCCTTAATACTGCAGTTATAGTTCACAAAACAAATGGATTTTTAATAATTTTAGGCCATATTGCTACATTAATGCATATTTATGAATGAAAGGTAAAGCAATATAGGTGAAATTTGAGGATATTAAGGCAATTTTGTCCCGGGTTTCTGCACCAAAAAAAAAAAAAAAAAAAAAAAAAGCAATTTTGTTACATACTATGCAGTTTTCATTTTTGCCATTTTGAGTTATGTGGTAGGGCTAGGCTTTATCCATCTTGTCTACATAGCAATTAAAAGCAGCTTTTAGACTGGAGGAAGTTATGGTTGAAGGAATCTTGTCCACAAATGGGAGAGTTTTGTGACTATGTGTTACTTTTTCCCTAGTCCAGGAAATATAAATACATGATAACATAATCTAGGAAAGTGCTTTGCCCAGCAGCATGTTTTCTTTCATTTATAGTGTAAGCTGCACTTCAGTGGAGAAAGGTTAGGCTGGTTAAGAAAAGAGTGGGAGACAAATGTCTATTTCGTGTAGTCGTCATTTTAGGGGATGAAAAGATACCATTGATAGCAGCGTAGAGGGTAGCAGCTTCATGAGTTTTGTGAAAAACAGCATCCGCTGTTTCAAGACCCTTGAATAAAGATGCCACTTGGTTTTAGCACTGTTAGTAAAGTTGCAAAATAAGTGTTTGTAGTATAAGAGATTGCCTAAGAAAGAAGGTTGAGCTGGATCATTTCAGTTTCTGCTGTGTTTCTATTAAACATTTCTTATAGTTTTTGAAATCTGTCTGTTTAGGACCCCTAAATCCTGGTAATACTAAAATGCTTGAATCAGAATTTTGTTTTAGATTTTAAGTATCCTGTTTACTTTTAGACCCTTTCTGAATCTCTCCATTTCTCAAATTCAACATTTTTCATTCCATCTATGCCATTCATGTTTTTGGATCAAAACTTATGCTGGCAGGTCCTTAGAAGCTAAAAGACTACTTATTAAGGAGTTATTTTAAATGTAAGATATTTTGGGAGTTAGAAAACCATTGTAATTCAAGTAAAGTGGTCAGTTAGAATATCTGTTTGAAGGGCATCAGGACACCTGACTCTTTAATACTATTTAACATAGTACTGTGCAGATCAAATTAATAAATTGGTTTTGGAAGCTATTATGAATGCATTTGAAAATTGTTACATATTCAGAAACTTCCTGTCAGATAGTTGACTTATTTTGACTTTCAAATTAACTTTTTAAGCTTATTAAAAATCCCTCATCCTTTCCCACTTCCAATTTTCCTGACTCAGATTGATTGGAATTTGGGACTGTAACAAGCTATCCAGCATAATGTCCAGAGTCTTACATTGGCATGCCTAATTCTGGGAGATTGTGTCACTCTAATTGGATACTTGTAAGGTATCACCAAGTAGTTGAAATATATTGATAAGAACCCTTGCCTGAACAATTTATTTTATAACAGGGAATACTAATAGCATTATGACTAAAAATAATAAAGCTGACATACATTTAAAAACCTAAAAATTCCACACATGTAATAAGCTTGAAATAATTGAAAGAGAGATAGCCACTTTGTGCTAAGTAATTTAAGAGAAGCACATAAGCTTAATACCATTAAAAGTGAACCCTAATATCTGGTTGTGGGATTAAGAGAGATGGATACATTTTTGCATCTCTAATGAGTTATTTTTTCTTTTTGATACTGAGATGCCTTGGTAAATCTTGTTATTGTAGTTAAGGGTGGGTTCAGTTTGTTTGTTACTAGTATAAGTTATAGACAGTCCAAGAAGGGAAATAGCACCAATTCATCCTCTCTCGGTTTTCTCAAAAAGTAGCACCATTTACTAAAACTAGGAACCTAGGAATTCATGCCTCTTTTTCCTTTATCTTCCCATTATTCAGCCCATCAGCAAGCTGTGTCATTTCTGTCCTAATAACATTCTTTATTTTATGTATTTATGTGGTGCTGAGGATTGAACCCAGTGCCTCACACTCACTAGGCAAGTGCTCTGCCACTCAGCCCCAGCTCCAGCCCTGTCCCCATAACATTCTGGCTCTCCATTTCTTTCTGCCACATCCCCACACATTATCCCTGTCTGGTATCATCTTCATTATCTCTACCAGGACTAAGAGGCAGCAGCCTCTTAGTCACCCCGTTTCTCCTCTTCCCCTACAACTTATTCTTTACATAGGTGACATAATTTTATTTTTTAAAATTAACTTGTTTGATTTATTTACTTATTTTTGTAGTACTGGAGTTTAAACCACTAAGCTAAGTCCCCAGTACTTTCTATTTTTTATTTTGAGTCAGGGTCTCATATCCTCCTGCCTCAATCTAATAGGTGGGATTATAGACATGTGCTACATGCCCAGAATCTTTTTCTTTTATAACATAAATTGTTGTCATTTCATATAAAATCCTCCAGAGACTTCCTTGTACTTAAAAACAAAATATAAATCAGTATATGTCCCACGCCTTTTTATCTGTTGTGTATGTCATTCTCTTGTTTGTTTGTTTTTTTTTCAGCTCTTTAGTTCTTTGTGTCATTTTTTCATGTTTTTCCCTCTGCCTAAAATACTTTTCATCTAGCTTTTTTGTGTACCTTGCTGGCTTCTCAGTTGTGTTTTGTTGTTGGTTTGTTTTGTTCTGTGGTGATGAACTCATTCTGCCATTGAGCTACATCCCCAAACCCTTTTTATTTTTTACTTTTTATTTTGAGACAAAGTCTAGTTGAGTTGTCCAGGCTGACCTGGCACTTGATGATCCTCCTGTCTCAGCCTTCTGAGTAGCTGGTATTGCAGTCCTCTGCCACCAGGCCAGCTGTATCAGTCTTCAGAGTTGCAAATGTAGGTTCCTTAGAGGGGCTTTCTTTGGATAGAATGTTGATTCTATCCAAAGTTACATCCACAATCTTTTATTATATAAAAAGAAACTCTGTTCATAATGTCATAATTTAATGCATAGGCTGTTTTCTCCAGTAGTAATAAGCTCCATGGGTGCAGGGTTTGTAATATTCAGTTCATTTTTAGAGCTTGAGGAGGCAGAACTAATCTTCATTCTAAATAAGTTTTGCCATGTATGTTGAACATTTCTGGCTAAATACACTAGGGAATGGCATAGTCTTAATGAGATTGGGAGTTCCACGAAGTAGAGGTACCAGAGCTAAGCATTTGCTTTTGTTATTTGGTGTCCTTGGAACAGAAGCCCCCTATGGCTTTGGATATATTATCTAACAATATTAGAAATGATGCAAGGAACATGCAGTTGTTAGTGCCCTTTTGTGATTGTGTTCATTTCCCACGACACTTATATTTGGTTGAAGTTGTCTAATTCTTGAATATTTACCCAAATCCCCAAATAGAAATTTGACTCTTTTTTTCCTTTATTTACAGAATATACTGATGATAATGCTCTAATTCCTAAGAATTCATCTGTAATTGTTAGAAGAATTCCCATAGGAGGTGTTAAATCTACAAGCAAGACATATGTTATGTAAGTATTTTTGAATTTTTATGGATTTCTCAAAATAGACCTTTTTAAATTTTTGAATCCTATTTATATCTTTTTGTTTGTTCTGATTTCTTTCCCTGGTTAAGCTGACTTAGCCTGTCATTTATAAGCAAGAACTATTCTTAGGGAAAATTTCTGCTATTTTCTCACCATAAAAAATGTATATGTGACATAGATCTTATATATTTTGACAGCATTGAGAGTATTCAGTAATGCTGACTTACGTTCTTTATCAAAAGAGACTTCAGTTAGGAGGCCATATATATAGGATATATGAGCATAGCACTGGAATCGGGCTTAGGTTTGACTTTGTTTATTGCTTTATGCCTACCAATTGTGTTACTTTGGGTGATTTTCCTAAAGTGTGTGTTGCCTCAGATTTCTCTAAAACAGAAAGGGATATGATATATAGTTTGCACTTTGTATCCTTGGGTTCTGTGTCTGTAAGTGCAGATTGAAAAGATTAGAAAAAGGAAAAAAAAGTTACTATATAAGTCACATATACATTATATTCAGATATGCCATTTCATATAAAGGACTTGAGGGTCCTAGATCCAATCTCATGAATACCTAGGTTCAACTAACTTACAGATTCTAAAAATTAGATAGTGCTAGCCATATGGTAAATGCCCAATATTGAAATAAGAAACAGATTCTCTCAGGACTAGTCTAAGAGTTTATATTTACTAGAAGGGTATAATTAAAACTTCAACTTCTCTGCTTTCTTGCAACTTTTAATACTGATAGCAGAACTAAAAATATGTGAAGAAGGCAGCAATTTGGGCTATTTAAAGAGTAGTGGTTTTTACTGAGAATTTACATAGCTTTGTTTTAAATTTGGCAAATTCTGCTTTGGGTCAAAGAAAAATTATGGAATTTGTTGGTCCTAAGAAATGCAATGTGTTCTTGGAAATAAGGTAAAATAGTCGTTTCTTGGAGTTTTACCTCATGTGGGCAAGTGTTGTGAAATTTTTCTCACTAGTTAGTTGTAAAGTTACATTCTATATCTTAACATTTGAAGGTCTCTTGTGTAATAGCTGCAGAATAGTATCAGCTTTAAAAAGGTGAATACCTTTTTGTTGTGATTACCAAGTAAACTTTGTAGTACATGCTTTTAACTGTAAATGATATTAAGGATTATGAATTAAGATGATGATTTTAAGAATTAATTTCTGTAACCTAGTATGAAATTACACTTTTTATCATGTGTTTTTTAGAAAAATAGCAAACATCCCTTTCTCTGGATTTCTTTTCTCTTTCTTTCTTTTTTTTTTGATTGAGAAAAGAATAATTTGAAGTAAATGGCAAAACAAGTTGCCTCTTAACACAAATTGCATGTTAATTATCAACACATAGGGTTTTGTTTATAATAAATTTGCCTGAAAATATCTCTGTGTTTGTTGAGCAAATACTAGAAAATGAGCCCCCCACACCCATTTTTTTAATCTCAGAACTTCCAAATAATGCATAAACTTAAAATTAAAGCTGAGCATTTAAAAGTTATACTTAGAAACTCAACCCCTGTTTATTTCCTGTGTGAGCTAAGGAAATTTCTTTTTAGATTTATTTGTATGTCCTTTTAAAAATCGTATTGTCCAATTCTACATAACCATTTAACTCATTCTTTTTAACTAAAATACTCTCAGACTAAGTTGTATCTTCCTGAGAGTTTGGGTTCTTATTCAATTATTGGCCATTGTTTTGAAACTTTTAAAAAATGAAAATAACTGTCAACCTGTCTATTTGAAAATTAGTTTTTGGAGGACGGTAGTTTCTCGTGGATCCAAATCAAATGCTAATGGCAATAATCTTGCTTTGAGAAAATATGTGTGGAAATTCATTAGGTGACTCTTAAAAAACTATAGAATGATCTTTCAGTCTCTTAAGAATGAACCACAGGGGCTGGGATTGTGGCCCAGTGGTAGAGCTCTTGCCTTGTGTGCATGGGGCACTGGGTTCTATCCTCAACACCACATAAATAAATAAAATAAAAGTATTGTGTCCTACAACTAAAAAAAAATTTAAAAAAAAATGCACCACAGAGTTTCTCAACATAATAAAGTCCCCATACTACCTTTCAGAAAACATTTATTATAAATGGCAAGGTACACCTATTCTAGAATTCCCCACTGTGGAAATTTTTTTAACCCTTTTGAAAGGGGGTAAATATAAAATTTTTGTATGAAAGGAAAATTGTGTTACTAAAAACATGTGATTGGTGATATGAATTAATATTTATTAGCACAAAAAAATCAAAAATACTAAGGTTAGTTAAGATTTGTAAAAACTAATGTTAGTCTTTGTTGTTTTTTGTTTTTTAGAAGTCGAACTGAACCAGTGATGGGAACTACAAAAGCAGTATGTAAAAACACAATCTCACACTTTTTCTACACATTGCTTTACCTTTTTATATTGTTGCAGTGAAGTAAATCATTTTTAGTACTTAATATTCAACTGATCATAGTACATATTGTAAATAAAATGTATTTTGATGACAGCTCAGTCGAATATGGATATATGTGGCATAATTTGCACACTTATTCTGTAGAAATGGGAAATTTGTGCCCATAACACTGTTTCATATTAAATATGATAGAATTCTCCCTGTATGACACTGTGTTGTACAGTAATGTATGATCCTTTTTAGATCGTATAGGTTTTACACTAATGAACATGATAACATGTTCTACATCTGTCTGTCTATAGTTAGTATTTTGTATGTATGTACAGGCTGTTGTGTGCTTTTTGTTTCTTGCAATAAAAAAATGTTTGGAGTTGTATATTTTGCCATTTTCACGTTGTATCACTTAGTTTTTGTTAGTTCCCCACCCCACCCCCTGGCTGATTGATGGCTTTCAAAAATGCATTAGCAACATGCAAAGCTTACATTAAAGTTTGATGCTTTCTCTAAGTTGAAGCACGTCATAGAAAAGAGCTTTCCAGAGACCATTGATGCAGCTTTATTATTTATTCTTGCTTTATTTGGCAATTTTGAGCTCCTATTCTTTCTTTACAGTGCATTATAACGTAAAAACTACACCCTTCTCCCCATAAGTACATAAAAGTCTCAATGATTTTGATGATTTCATACAGTTGGGTATATTGTTTTCAAAATTTAATACAAGGCCTTGCACTTCTATCTAGCTTATTCAAAAGTCCAATTGAAAATATTGCTCTTTCATGAGATTCTAAAATGCTGCATTAATTGTAGGCTATTAAAGCTATAGGTTATCAAAGGTAACTCCTCTTGACCAGGGTAACGTCTTAATTTTTATAATCCCAGATTAACCTTAAGTGTGACACTTCTTTGACTTTAAGCTCTTAAGTAAAAGGTAGCAGCATTCCTAAATTGTGAAGTGAAACATCTGTTTCAGAATACAGGTCTATCTTAATTGAGTTCTGTAAACTTGATGGTTCTCTAAACATTTTACTGCTCAGGCTTGATATTGTACACAATGCAAGATGTCTGAAATCTTCATTTAGAATTCAAGGGTTTTGCTTGCTATTTCATTTTATACTTTCAAAGTACTACTGATTTTGTGTATGAGGCATTTCACTAACCTTGGATCACTGGATCTTAAACATAACGTAGAATATCTGAACTCTGGACTTGTTCTCTAAAGTATATGGCCTTTAGTTCTGATGGAACTAAATATAGTTATTCAAAGATCAAAAGTCTTAGAGTTTTGGGTTGTTTTTTTTTTTTTTTTTTTCCTTCATTTTGGATATATGGGTTTTTTTTTTTCTTTTTCTTTTTCTTTTTTTCTTTTTTTTAAAAGCATAATGCTGTAAAAACTGTCCAAGTTTCTGTTTTGCTGGTGATTGGTTTAAAATGATTTTTATGTATCCAAATGCTAGCACAAATTAGATTGACTCTCCTGGTGACTGTAGTAGTAAATGTAACACGTTTTGTATAAAGTACATTTTTATATAGTATTTAAGCTAATTCAGATGAAGTTTTATTTCTTGAAAACAATTATTTCCTTTTTGTTTATTAGCATGTGTATAAGCACAAAATCACATGTTCATAAATAAAGTTAACATTCTTTTAGCCTTGTGTGTTCCCTGGCATGTCTGTATTACATTTATAAGAAGCAGTTTATTTTAAGCTTATTTAGGCTTTTCTTTTTATTTATTTTTTTAATACTTTAAAAGTGGTTTTAGTTTTTAGCTAGGATTATCTGAAATGGACAACTTGTTATCCCCATTCTTTACCTGCTTGGGGTGCATATGCTGACATTTAGGATGCAAGAGTATATTCAAACATAATCTGTGCTCATCTTAGGAGACTTAATTGTGTGGATTATATTCATTCACAAAAGTAAATAGAGGTACAGGTCTAAATTTTTTATTCTCATTAGTAAATGTATGCACTCTTTTTGGTAATGTAAGGCAAGTCATAATCAGAGGTAGTCATTTCCATACTCCCCAGCCTTGTTTTAGTCAGTCATCCTTCCATGTTAGTCCTTCAAAGCTGGGTGTTGTTCTTGCTAACTAAATATAAGAATTACATTTAGGATCCTTTAGTTTCAGACAAGTATAACCACATAAAAAGTTTCAGATCCTTGCTCCCAGAAGTAAGACCTCCTGGTTAGATGCAGGGAGGTGGGTTAATTTTCATGATGACTACAATGCCCATCAGTTAGTTTTGTGTGAGGACTTTTTTTTTTTTTTTTAATGTTGGTAGGTTTTTTTTTTTTTTTTTTTTTAAACATTAGTATCTTGGTAGAATGTTACAGAGAAGTCACTATGTTGACATTTTAGTACATATAAATTTCTAATCATTTTTAAACCATTCTTTGTTAATATTCTTCACTCATTTCTTATCACCTTGCTATTATATAGAAAACAAAATTGGATGCCTTTCTAAATTTGTGGTAAATTTGACTTTTTGCAGACTGTAGGAATTATTTGATGGAAAAACTTGATTGAGGTGCAGTTGCATGTGTGAAACCACTTTCAACTCATTAAATATATGATAGTGGCAGAAAGCTGGAAAAAAAAAAAAAAGAAAACCCAGCATAAAAACAAAAAAGTTAGATTTTAAGTGTTAAGAGTGGGAAGATATTTTAAAACATTTTTTCAGTTTCAATGGTAAGAATATAATGGATTGCTTTCTCAGGAAATTCTCAGCATTCCTATTATAGATAGTAATGAACTATTTTTAAAGGCTATTAATTTGTTTCATTGGATAGAAACATTGTATAGTTGATTGGGTTGATAGCGATTTTTTTTCAGTCCTTGGTAGTTAAATTCAAATAATTCCTGGTTAATGTAAAATGTAATCTTTTTAAAATAGAATGAGTGGGTCTGAATTCTGGATAAAATAGGAAAGTTATATATTTCATTTCATTGTTCTGCTTATCCTTGAGATTAGTTCTTAAAGATTATGCTACTTCAAAGCTGAGCAAGGAAGAGAGAACCTACTCGTGGATTATGTGGTTGATACACATTAGGAATGTGGGATTTGTGCATTATGAGAACTCTTTACAGTCCTTCAGTGTGGAGCAAAAAAATCTTTTGTCTGAACAAACACCACAGTAATAATACCCATCAAACTAATTTAAAATCCTAAGATATTTGTAAGATGTATCTTAAAATTAGACAACATTATTTTTTATTTACATTTATTTGGTCCCTTCTGTGGTGGGCTTTGGCGAAGAACTTCATACTGAAACTGGTTACATTTCTTTTTGAGGTCTTGAGTCATGCTGCTTTTATTTTAATAATCTTAGAAAAAATATCCAATGAAGACTTCCTTTGATCCAAACATCTTGTTACATTCTCTCCATTTTAGGCAAGAGTTCCGACCAATAATGCATGAGGAGCTTATAACTTGGAATAAGCAACCCACTTGCTAAATAGGGAGCTATAGGGAAGCCATGTCTTCCAGGTTTTAACTAATTAAAATCATTTCATAGATCAAATGAAAAAAGTCTGAAGGTTACATTTTAAAATAACATTTTTTAAAGCCCTCATATCCTTCATATATATTCATATGCTTCCTGTTTGATTAAATTAACTTTCTTTTCTCCAAATATTAGAATCCATCATCATACTTGACAGCTGTTCACCCTTTCTCCAGGGCACCTTCAATTTTCCTTTTTTCTCCCCCTTATCATCTTTGCCCTGATAAAGCTGTGGTTTCTTTGGCAAGAAGCTATTGTTACTCTTTATGTGGAAGAATAAACAAACTTATTCAGACTGAACAGTGCATGCTCAAAGAGGAGAAAAAAAGTAGCAATTATGTGGGAGCTGTTATTTATTAAAGCAATTATCTGAGCCATTAAAGAGCTGCTTGTTTTTACAATGTTGTATAATGGCATAGAGGAGGATTAGAAAGATTTCTTATTCTCCAGTGTACATTGTCTTGAGCATTATCAAATTTAGAGACCATTGAGAGACACGGGACTCTAATTTAGTATTTAGTCACCACTCTGAACAGATTTCCTATGTGATATACTTTCAAATTGTAGTTGAGTCTCCTTCAACTGTGAGCCTTTGTTCCTGGGTATGAAATGTATAGAGAAAGGTGAAATAGGTTGAACTACACTTTCAAGCTTAAAAGATAACATTCTTTAGAAAACTAAGAAAATGCCCAATATTTAAACATTAAGTGACATTGGGGGCTGACTGATCACTTTCAGATGTTTTCAGTGTGGAACTTGAATGTGTGTTTAATTTTTTGTGAACAGATTGATGACTCTTCTGCATCTATTTCTCTGGCCCAGCTTACAAAGGTATATATATATATATTCTTGAAAATATAAGTCTTTTTTCTATCATCGTATTCTTTTATGTGGAACAATTTTTTTTATGGGTTGGGGGGGAGGATGTATTTTGCGAAAGCACTGTACATTTTGCTATCCTGTAAAGAGTAGTTGCTGTTTTGAGAAGATAGGGGAGTTCTATATGAGCCTCAGCGTAATGTTGGAGTATTGTTCATCTTCAAGACAGAAGAAGCACACGAAGCTACACTAAATCATGCCCCCCCCACACATATATTGTTTAATTATACATTGGAAACTAACAAAGTTCTGGAGGAATTCCCTGGATTTGGCTGTAAATTATGTGGACTTTCTCTAAGCAGCCAAAACAGAAGATTTCCTTTACATGGACGATTGCGTGGCTATTTCTTGAATATTTGAATCAAACCCGTGAAGGTCAATATTTTAAATGTCATACATGAAGGTCAATATTATAAATGTTACAGTTGGTTTTTTTTTTTTTTTTTTATGCTATAGGCTTGTAGTCTGTCTGCATTAGAAAAAGTTTTAAACAACCTAATTTGTTTGAACGCAGACTACATGAGTTGTGTAAGTGTATAAATATGTTTGTAGGAATATACCACTGTGTATGTGTGGCAGAGGGACAAATTGTTACCTCCTGAAATCATTGTATATGCCATGTTTTGCGATAAGATTGCTTGCATTTTCTGCTCAACAATGTATATCTTTTGTTTGGAAAAGCACTAGTGATGGATTTTTTTTTTTTTAAACAACACATTTAGATTGCAAATTGTGCCTTAAAAAGGAATAGGTAGACTTTTTAGGGCCAAAAGGAAGTTGTCCGGTTTTCCAGAAATCCTTTTTTCCCTGCTGTCAGAAATGTGAAACCAAATTTGGCAACCAAGATTAAAGAAAAGATGAATTTTCCATTAGTGCTTGTCCCTTTGTTATAGGTTATATCTTTTTCCCCTAGGATATATCCCCCCCACAAATGTCCAAGTACAAATAATTGCTTTTTAAGCTCCTAGGAAAATTAAACATTAAAATGAATGATTCTAAAACCATCTATTTTATCATTTTCTAATGCAAAGTGGCTTAGAATAGTTGACATCTTTAGCAGGTAATAGTTTCCTGTTTTTATTCTTATGTACTACAAGGACCATATTTGAGTTTGGGTCTATTCCTACCATTGTTTCTTTGTGGGGAGGAGTTGGGGAGGTTTGGGGGATTCTTTCCTTTCTTGCTTTCTTTCTTTTAAATTCTATTTGTAAAATAATGTTTGGGTTCAAACAAATTAGTTGTTAAACATCTGTAATCCAGTTTTCTGTAAATGTTGCTGTTGTTCTAAGCTCTGTTAATGTTAAGCATTCTTTGTATATAAAATTACAATAAAATGTTAAAACTGGTTGCTTGTTTTGTGGATGAATGTAAAGAAATCCATGAGTGGCTGATATATGAGTGCTAGATGCTTGAAGATTGAAGTTATTAGAAATCACTCCCTTAGACCCTGCTTATATCTAGACTATTATATAATAATTCCTTAAAGGTGAAGTTCATAAAATTTATCTGGAGAGTTGAATTAAAAATTATAATAAATGCTTAATGCACATCCTTCATACTTAATTTGAAACTGACACCACTACCTAAAGAGCCTCTGGCTTTTAATTGCTGCATAATATGCTCAGCCATGTACCCCCTCCCTACCTCCAAGTTGTAAGTGTGAATTAGCCTTAATGTTGTGACACTTGAAATATTTTTAATTTAAGAACATCAAGTGTTTCTCTTCTAATTTAGTCTTTACCTCATAGAGCAGTAGTATGTAAATCTTAACGTAAGGTACAAACAGGGTCTAAGGTTTGAGTGTCTCCAGAAAGACTTTCTTCAGCTCCCAGACACCCATACATCGTAGAATGACTTAAGGAATTCCCATTGCCTCTTCCAGGTTATATGTGTAAATAGCTGTTTTTATGCAAGGTTAGTTTAGATACTGCTCTTTACAGGATGAGTGGTGTTGTCTTTGGCTGTGTGGTCTTAAATGTGTTTCTAATGTGTGTGTCAAATAATTACCTGTTAAACAGACTGCCAATCTGGCTGAAGCCAATGCTTCTGAAGAAGATAAAATAAAAGCAATGATGTCGCAATCTGGCCATGAATACGACCCAATCAAGTAAGTTCATAAATACTTTATACTAATTGGAACTTTGGGGGTGAATTTTTCCCCCCAGTCAAAAACATTATTTTCTAAAAGACCTTTTGTACATGTAATCATTTTTTTTTTTCCTTTCAGTTACATGAAGAAACCTCTAGGTCCACCACCTCCATCTTATACCTGTTTCCGTTGTGGTAAACCTGGCCATTATATTAAGAATTGCCCAACCAATGGGGTAAGTCCAAAGTAGAAATTATAATTCATCTTTTTCTTAGAAGTATTGCTTAGTCATCTTTATTTTCTTGGTAAAATTGCTTTCTCTAATAAAATGTCAAATGAGCACAACCTCTGGAGCCAGATTTGCCAGTCTTCAAGTCTGGGTTCTGCCATTTAGTAGGTGAGTGAGCTTAGGCAAGTTCCTTGATCTCTCCAAACCTATTTTTTTTTCTTCTAAATGGAGATAACAGTACTTACCTCACACGGCAATTGTGAGGATTAAATAAGAGCACAAGTATGAAGTATTTCAAATAAAAAGAAGTAGTAAGCACTGCATAATGTTAGCTAATTGTTAAATAAGGATGTCTGCTTTTTCTCCTTTCTCTTTTCCATCCAAATAGGATAAGAACTTTGAATCTGGTCCTAGGATTAAAAAAAGCACTGGAATTCCCAGAAGTTTTATGATGGAAGTGAAAGATCCTAACATGAAAGGCGCGATGCTTACCAACACTGGAAAATATGCAATACCAACCATAGATGCGTAAGTATACACATTAGGTATGACCTGTGGAGAAAGAGAGCACAGTCAGTCCTAGGGCATAATGTTTGAATCTTGGGCTTGTAAATTAGCTACTTGGATTCCTTGGGAACTTTGTATACCAAGATCATTAGTCTCCACATGTTGCGTTTCTGTGTTTTAAGATTGAAACACTGCAGTCTGCTCCATTTAAAGCAAATTTCAAATGATTGGGGGATTTTTGTCATCAGTGAGTGCCACTTCCCTTGTAGTCTTCTAATTTTTTCTTTTTCTTTCATTCCCTGCTTTCTTCCTCATTCACATACATATTCCCACATTATCTTATATATGCTATTTGCATTCTGAAATTATTTTGAAAAATAATCATAAGAAAGTTCTGCAGAATACTGAGGCAAATGTATTAACTGCCAAGCATCAACAAAATATTGACTAATAAGCGTGGATACACCTTGTAGTCTTAAGATTCTAAAGTAGGTTTATTTTATAAACCATTAGTTCAAACCAGCAATAGCTTTATAAAGCACCCTCATGCTTACTTTAATGCATTTTTCGGTTTTATTTTATGAACCGGTTTTTAATGAAAGGAACAGATGTGAAAATCTAGTGATATGGTTCAACTAGATGACGTTCCATTTTATCTCTCTTAATTATTTTAATCACCTTTTTGATTACCTTCAGTAGTTGTGAACTCACATAATATATATTATATTAAGTGTTCCTCTGGACAGTGGATCTAGGTATTATGCCCTGAGCCCCCAGTTTTGGATTTAAGGTTATGTAATAAGATCTTGATTCTGTATTTGTAACAAGTCTTCCTTCCAGAAGATTAGGAAATTAAGAGAAAGATCTTTAGGACATACTTTGAGAAACATTAGTTCATAGAATATGTGTCCATGTTCTCTCAATGACAAAAGGAAAATTAAAAAAACCTCAGGAGCAACACAGTTTTCTCAAGTTTCATGCCATAAATATTGTTGAAGTGTAGTGTAGTGAGCAGGTGGTGATGAGGAGAATGGTTATGCTAGAGAATGATACTGAGAAGACGTGTAAGTGTTTTTTAACATGCTTCAAGATAAATACAGTGTTATAGTTCACAAATAAGAATTAATGTTGGCCTGGGGCTGTAGCTCAGTGGCAGAGTGCTTACCTGGCACATGTGAGGCACTGGATTTTGTCCTTAGCACCACATAAAATAAACAAATAAAATAAAGACATGCTGTCCATCTACAACTACAAACAATTTTTTAAAATAGTATTTTTTATATTCTTATACTCTCTCAACCCTGCTCACTTTCTCAACTTCACCCCCATCTATTTTTTCTTAGTCACCATCCTGTGTTGTTGTGGTTCATCTTAGAGCAGTCTGTTGTTATGCTGTTTATAATCCAGACACATTCCATAGATGCTTCCAAGCAGTGATAGGTTGAAATTGACGATTTTTATAGTCAATGAAGAGCAGACTGCTATATGTAAAATTTCTTAGAGAATAGAAGTTTGTGTTAGAGAAGTTAACATCGCCTGTGAACCTTTAATAATTAATTTCATTGCTTTTTGAGTGCGGAAATATAAAAGCCCATTTGTGTCAGACACACAGCAACTACTGGGGAGAGATGGGAGCCCAAATATTTTAAATGAAACTTTCACCCTCTCCACTAACACCACTGATAAGCAACTCAGATTCTTCTTCTGTTTCTTTTTCTATCCTCTGTTCTCCTCTTTTTTTTTTTTTTTTTTTTGTCTTTTCTTTTCTCTCTTTGGGCAGTGGGAGACTCCTCTTTCACAAATTGGGAACAATGGGGCATAAGCAAATTGATACTTATTTCTGGAATCGTGGTGATGTCTATGGAGCAACTGCAACACAAATAACACACCTAAGGTACCCTACTCCATACAGCTGAGATTCTTTCATTTTCAGCATTGAGATAAACACACTCTGTTCCTAATTGAAAATAGAAAAGATTTCTCTAGAAATTCCAATGTTTTACAAATTTAATTGCAGAGAGAATGGGGTTGTGGAAGCAGGTAGTGACAAGTCTGAGATTACCTCTCTCTTTTTTTTAATGTATTTTATACCCAACATTTCTGTAAAAATGCATTTCTACAAAAAAAAAAAAATGGATCCAGAATATCTGACAAGGTGTTACTTCATATTTTTGTAACACATATTCTGATCATTTAAAATCATGTTTCTTAATTGATTGTAATCTCTTAAGATAATAATTATAGGTAGATCATTGGTCTGAAATTTCATTCTGACAATTAAATGTGTGGTGATGATATATTTTCCTTGAACTATTTCCCCTGATTTGTATAATGACAGTTCTAATTTTAATTTCACACCTTGTAGCATTCACTCTAATACCTTCACAGGTTTTGGAGACTGTTGGAATATGGAAAGTTTTTGTTACTTGTTTTTCAAGAAACAATGGTGGGGTAGGGAAAATTAGTGATTTGAGTATTCTCAAATTCTCTGTTACGTAAATAGAACTTTATGGCACTGAAAGTGTTGCTTTACCTCTTTGGTGGTTAGTTTTTAGAGTTAAGGATTCTAAAATCCTTTTAGCTGCTTTTACAGCATTTTTTAATTTCATTTTGTTGGGCTTATTAGAGTTTAGTGTTTCTTGTTTAGGAAGAGGATGTGCATTAACTGCTTTCTTATTTTGGAAGATACACTTGTCTAAACTAATTGGCATTGTACTGAATTATATGTTCCCATTATATTACAGTAAAACATGTAACATGAATAATTTTGCCTTTTAAACAATGTTAAGACACTAAAACCTTCTTTTACAGAGAAGCATATGCAATTGGGAAGAAAGAAAAACCACCGTTCTTACCAGAGGAACCATCTTCTTCCTCAGAAGAAGATGATCCTATCCCAGATGAGTTGTTGTGTCTCATCTGCAAAGATATTATGACTGATGCCGTTGTCATTCCCTGCTGTGGAAATAGTTATTGTGATGAATGTAAGAACTGCTGAACCCTTGAGGACATAGGTGTTAGAGTATTTGTATATACTTTGAAAGATAATGTAGATAACCTTGTTATCTACATTTCATGTATTTTAATAAGTGAAATGTAGATAACAAGGGTTGACCAACAAGCATTTAATAGAAAGTTTTTTTTTCTTTGCCCTTTTAAATATTAGAATTGGCCACCTCCTATACTGAGATTTCTTTAATTATAGAATTTTTGTTGTACATTTTACATGGTGTATAGAATCTATAAAACCTTTTCAACTTTAGGTAATTCTGCAAGTATTTTTAAATGGAACCAAAATCCCTTTACTAGATTTGTGAATAATATTCTGTTCTTTTTCTGAAAAGTGTAATTTGACCTTCTTCCTGTAAATTTATTACCCAAAATTGCAATTGTGATTGGGTTTTTTTTTTTTTTTTTTTTTGTCGTCCCCCGCCCCCCAATCACTTATTAGCACCTACTTTTTTCTGTACTTACCCTAAGTTTATTCCTTCTTAACCAGAGAAGATGGTGTTATCTGGAAAGTTCACTGATCAGTCCTGCTGTAGGTTTTTCCATTTCTAGAAATAGTTTTGGAATACAAATCTATTTTCAAGCCTTTTCATTAAAGACTAAGATCAAGAAGAAGTCGCTTAACTGAAATTTGGAGACTGAGACAGGAGATCATGAATTTGAGACTCTGTCTTAAAATTAAAACTAAAAAGGATTTAGCTCAGAGGTAGTGTGTCCTGGTTTCAATTCCCAGTACTTCGAAAGAGAAAAAGAAGAGGTCACTCGGATAGGTTTGAGAATAAATCAGTAAACTACTTTTTGAAGCATAGAGAATCTACAGCTTAGTGTTGCTCCTACCTGCTGTGTTGTAGGTGTCTCTTCCTGCTTGAATAATACTTGTTTTTTAAAACTCTGTATTTTTATGATGCATTTTCAAAAATTAAACCATATAAAGTGGGTTTTTTAATTAATTTATTTATTATTTCTTTTGGTACTGGGGATTGAACCCAGGGGTGCTTTACCACTGAGCTACATCCCCTGCCCTTTTTATTTTTTATTTTGAGAAAGGGTCCCGCTAAGTGGCTTAGAGGCAAGCCTCAAACTTGTGATTTTCCTGCCTCAGCCTCCTGAGTTGCTAGGATTATGGCATGTGCCCACTGCTCCCACGAACCATGTATAGTTTTTATCCCTCGGGACTCATTTCTTTTTTTTCCTACAATATTCTAATTACCAAACAAAGAATAGTATTTAGGAAATAATGCCCTTTATCCCTATTCAGGCTTTACTTTAAATGTCTCTCTGACTTTTTTAAAAGTAAGTCAGGTGAGAGAAAAACATAGCAGAAGAGTGCTGTGAGAATGAGAGATTTTACTTGTTTCTTAATCTAAGAAGTGATTGATTTTGTGTGTTTGAAAAACAGTAATTAACTGAGCAGATGTAAGCCCTCTTTTTTGTAAGTCATTCTCTAAACACCAAGTTCCTGCTATACCTTTATTAATATTTAAAATCTTATACACAGGTATAAGAACAGCACTCCTAGAGTCAGATGAACATACATGTCCAACATGCCATCAAAACGATGTCTCTCCCGATGCTTTGATTGCCAATAAGTTTTTACGACAGGTAAGTTAAATTTTTTATGAAAAGAGATTTTTTAAAAAGTTTCTAATAATTTAACTATTTCCCGAGTGAATACCACATTACATATTTTCATATTTTTATGTTTGATATTGATAGGCTGTTAATAATTTCAAAAATGAAACTGGCTATACCAAAAGATTAAGAAAGCAATTACCTCCACCACCACCTCCAATTCCACCTCCAAGACCCCTCATTCAGCGGAACCTGCAACCTTTGATGAGATCTCCAATATCAAGACAGCAAGATCCTCTGATGATTCCAGTGACATCATCATCAACTCACCCAGCTCCCTCTATATCTTCATTAACTGCTAATCCGTCTTCCTTGGCCCCTCCTGTGCCTGGAAATCCATCTTCTACCCCAGCTCCTGTACCTGATATAACTGCAACAGTATCCATATCAGTCCATTCAGAAAAATCAGATGGACCTTTCCGGTAAGTTTTATGGATTTCTCATTGTTAGAAAACGAATGAGATAAATGATGTAGTGTTTTGTTGTATGGCTTTAATCATTCTAGAGGTCCACTGTGTTCAGTAAGTTTAGATGACTTGTAAGAAATGACTTGAGTCTTATGGAGCAAGAGGCAAATGAAGGTGATTCATTTGGCAAATGATAATTAAGCATCCCATAGTCAAATACCACCACACAAGTTGCCAATAACCCCTTTAAATGTTGGCTCATAGAACAGTTCTGTACTTCAGAAGTAAGAGAAGAAGTCACTTCATAATGGTCATAATGATGATATTAAGAAAGAGTAGATTTGAGTGGAACTTTTTACCATGCAGGTAGTAGAAAAGAGGACTTAAGGCGCACTGATGGAAATAGAAAGGTCAGGAATAATAATTATTTTGGAGCATAATTATATAGCAAATTAGTGAAAACTGATTTAAATCCTACTATTTCAAAAATGTAAAGGACCGTGACCATGTAGTCTAATAGCTCCATAGCATTCTTTTAGAAAAAAACCAACCAGCAATAGAGGGAAAATGTTGGGTGAAGGGGTACGTGCTGTAATCCTAGTTACCTTGGAATCTAAGGCAGGAGGATTGTAAGTTCAGAGCCAGCCCTAGCAACCTAGTGAGACCCTGTCTCCAAAAGGGCTGGGGATGTAGCTCAGTGGTAAAAATCCAGCACCCCTGGATTTAATCCTCAGTTTTTAAAAAGATTTTTTTTTTTTTCCCTGAAAAACAGCTTTTTAAAAATGTGTCAGGGGTCTATTTCAGATATACTGAAGCAATCTTTAGGGAGTCTCTCGTACATGTATATTTAAGGAATTCCACTGATCTGGTTTCTTTTTTGGCCTTTTCTTTGCTTGAATAGTGGTAATAAAGCCCAGAGAGTTCTGGATACCCCTTCAGTTTAGTAGCAGAACTAGAACTAAAGCCTGCTATTTAAGTACCATGTTCTTTTTTGTCCTCATAGCCCACACTTTGACGTTCTTTATAAGTTTGACTCCTCTTTTTTTGTACTAGAGATTGAAGCCAGGGGCACTTAACCACTAAGCCACATACTCAGCCTTTTTTTTAAAAAATTTTGAGACAGGGTCTTACCAAGTTGCTGAGGCTGGCTTTGAACTTTTCCATCCTCCTGCCTCATTCCCAAGCCACTGGGATTACTGGCATGGGCCACTGTGCCTGGCGGCAGTTTTCCTCTTGCAGTCACTTTCTTTCATACCGTATCTTGTCTTAAGGAAGCTCCTCTTTTTTTGCCTTCACTTAATGTATGAACAACTCTCCAGAGGCTCAGTCCTCATTCTCAGTTTCCTCAGAGTTTTTCCTCATGTTTGACTTAATTCATTGTAAGGCAGGTGGTAGATAAACAGTGACACTTGTTATCTTTATTCTTATTCCTTCATATCTGAAACTTTTTAAAAATATTTTTTGATTGTTGATGTGCCTTTATTTTTTATTTATTTATATGTGGTGCTAAGGATCGAACCTGGTGCCTCACACATGCCAGGCAAGTGCTCTGCCACTGAGCCCCAGCCCCAGCCCCCTGAAGACCTTTTAATGTATTACGAATTATATTTGTTTTCTAGGGATTCTGATAATAAAATATTGCCAGCTGCAGCCCTTGCATCAGAACACCCAAAGGGCACCTCCTCAATTGCAATTACTGCTCTTATGGAAGAAAAGGTAAATTTTACTGGCTTTTAAATTTAGTCTTTACAGTAGGGTTTTTTGTTTTAGCCAATCCTTTCTTTTTAAACTTTTTCTTTATTTTAAAGGGTTACCAGGTGCCTGTCCTTGGAACCCCATCTTTGCTTGGACAGTCACTACTACACGGACAGTTGATCCCCACAACTGGTGAGTAAAATTATTTTAATTTGGACTTTTTTCCCCTTTAAAAAATGATTTTAGTTTTACTTAACATACAATTTTATATTTACTCACTGGATTCTTTTGTTTGTTTGTTTGTTTTTGTTTGTTGTTTGTTTCCAAGGTCCGGTAAGAATAAATGCTGCTCGTCCAGGTGGTGGCCGTCCAGGCTGGGAACAGTAAGTATATGTAAAAATTAAACAAGATAATGGCTCTTGAATTAAATAATGGAAACTACAACTAAGCGTTATGTTGCTGCATACTTTTTATTGTAAACTACCCTTTTATATGGAAGATTCAAATAGGTTTTATGTCAGGTGTCACAAATTCAAGCTTACATGAGGAATTATTTTCCAAAAGAATGTATAGTGATCCTTGAACAACTTGCAGTTGTGGGGCACTGACCTGATCTTCACATAGTTGAAAATCCACACATAACTTTTTAAAAAACTTCTTATAAGATTCGTATATGTTTTATGGTAAATGATATAAGAGACATTGTTTACATATAGTATTATGCATTTAGGACTCACTTTTAAAAATTTCTTCTTGGGCAATGCAAGTTGTCTGCAAATTTTTTTCAAATTGTCGCAAATTTCCCCTCCCCCCCAAAAAAAAATCCATATATAAATGGACTTATGCATTTCAAACCCAAGTTATTCAAGGGTCACCTGTAATTTTTCCACAATAGTAAAATACAAAATCAAATTCTTTTTGCTTTCATGGCTTACAAATGGTGGTCACTACTCAGTGAGTAGATAAAAATTACTTGAAAACCTATTTTAAATATGGAATCACTTGTTTCTCTAAAAATTCAAACTGTTCTTTGTCTATTTTTTTGTTTCTAAACTTGATAAAAATTTAAGTAAATAAATACATATTAAGATTAAAGCCTACCAAGCAAAAAATTCGTTTTTTTTTTTTTTTTTTTTTTTGAATAGCATCTGTGTTAAAAAAAAAAATCTTACTACAGATTAAAATCTACAAAATGTGATTTTTTTTTCCCCTGCCCTGAAAGGCACAGACCTTTGATGTTTGTGGACTGTTCTATGGCATTAAAAATCACATTTATTTAATCTTTATAATTTCATTTTGTGAGACTTAAATTCTAGATCTTTGATCTTTGTTTGAAAGATAAACCAGATTTCTCTTAGTGAAAATATTCTGTTTGAGAAACTAGCAGAGTTTATCAGTAGAAAGAACATAGGATTTTAGAGTCAGGTAAGCCTAGGTTTAAGTCCTAGTTCCTCTATTGCCAATTACTTGATCATGAGCATGTGGTTTTACTCCTCAAGTCTCAACTTCCTCGTTTGTAGAGTTTAACATGAAGTGCCTGCATAGTGTGTTGCAGGCATAAGGGTTCTTTTCCTTTTCTATAAAAAGTTTATAGAGTAATTTGTAGAATATTAAGATATATAATGTATTCTATATTGTTTTAATTAATCAGAAAAATAAGTTAATTTTAAGTAAATGTAATATTTGCTCAGATCTCTGGAACAAGTTTAAAAATCAGGGAGTAAGAAAAATCTTTTTTAGAATAGTTAAAATAGATGCCTTAAAATCTATGCACTAAAAGGTTGTATATTATCTTCATGGAAAAATCTCGAGCCTTTTTTTATCTTTCCTTTACATACAGTTCCAATAAGCTTGGATATCTAGTTTCCCCACCACAGCAAATTAGAAGAGGAGAGAGAAGCTGCTACAGGTAGGCATGCTAAATATTAGAATAATAGTAATCTTATAAGACATTAAGCCTCAGCAACAGCAGGAGAAAGGGAGGGGTGGTCATTTGTTTTATGCTCTTCTCTTTTTTAAATCTTCAGTAGTTGTCCTTAAGAAACCTAGAAAAGCACAGATTTACATTTAGTATTTTAAATGATGGCTTTTAAGGGTATATCCTTTATTCTCCTTCCCAGTGATTACTTTTCCCTGTCAGCACAACAGAATGCTGGTAATGAAAGTTAACTTACTCAGCTTTCAAGTGTAATGAATTACATTGTTTGTCTTTTAAACTCACCTGCCCTTCTCTTTTCCAAAAAAATAGGGTAAGGAACTTTTTATGGGCTCTTGTCCCGAACAGTTCACAAGTAGTGTTTTTCTAAGTAAGCCATAGATCTTCCACCTAGGTCATAGTTGCCCAGGAGAAAAGAGTCTTCAAAATTTTATCAAAAGGGGGCTGGAGTTGTTGTTCAGTGGTAGAGCACTTGCCTCAAAATCGTGAGGCACTGGGTTCAGTCCTCAGCACCACATAAAAATAAATAAATAAAAATAAAGATGTCCATCTACAACTAAAAAAAAAAAAAAACGCTAAAGGTATTTTCTAGTGCTTCACTGAGAACTGTTACGCTTATGAAAGTTACTGTTTTTTTACTAGATCACAAGTTAAGAGAAGGTAATAGTTACTAATTCCTGATTGTGACAAAAGGCTTAAAATCTAAACCCCTTCTGCTTGTGTTGCCATAATGTAAAGAACTTTTAGTTTTACAAAAGCCCACTCGGTTTCTTTGATGAGGCACAATTTAGAAACTTTAGCTAGCACTATTTGTACTTAATCCTTTGAGAGAAAACGGTGGGATTTTCAGTTGTTGATGGGATTTTTTTTCAGTTCTTAATTATAAGTGTTAGAGCTGATATTTATTCTACTTTATATGGCCTTGACCCCCATCTTCCCTCAAAGAGGTTGCAGAAAAAGTGTTTTTTTTGTTTTGTTTTGTTTTTGTTTTTGTTTTTCATTTATACTTTTGATCTTGGAAGACATTATGTCGAAAACTGGGTCATAGCTAATTAGTTATTCAAAAGATACATTAGGAAGTAATAGGTGATAATTAGTGAAGTAATAACCAATCTAAACTTCACAAAAGGTAATTTTAAATATATCTCCATATAAACAATGTCCCATAAACTTTCCATTGAAATTCCTAAGTAGCCTTAAAAATCATGATTTTGTTTAGAGTTGCTTTTTTTTTTGAGATGGGGAAATGGGGTCTTGCTATGTTGCCCAGGCTGTTCTCATATTCTGGGCTAAGCGATCCTCCCACCTCAGCCTCCCAGGTAGCTGGGACTAAAACCATTGCACCTGCTTTTATAGAGTTATAACAAATAAGTGGTATTACTGTTTCTATGGTATTTGAACAGTTAATTCTATTCAGTTGTTTGTACATTTGAAAATGATTATGGCTAGGAAAAGATAAGTTTATCTTTACTTATCAGATGAATTTAAAGGAATAATATCTTGGAATTTATTTCTCCAGAAGTATAAACCGTGGGCGGCATCACAGCGAAAGATCACAGAGAACTCAAGGCCCATCATTACCAGCAACTCCAGTCTTTGTACCTGTTCCACCACCTCCTTTGTATCCACCTCCTCCCCACACACTTCCTCTCCCTCCAGGTGTTCCTCCCCCACAGTTTTCTCCTCAATTTCCTCCTGGCCAGCCACCACCTGCTGGGTATAGTGTCCCTCCTCCAGGGTTTCCTCCAGCTCCTGCCAATTTATCTACACCTTGGGTATCATCAGGAGTTCAGACAGCTCATTCAAATACCATCCCAACAACACAAGCACCACCTTTGTCCAGGGAGGAGTTCTATAGAGAACAACGCCGACTAAAAGAAGAGTAAGTATTTTAATTTGAAATTATTATATAAACTTTTTTCCATTTTCTTATATAACATTAAATAGGTGTCTTTGGAAACATTTTCCAGTGTTTCCAGTTAGTACAAGAAAATTCACCTAAAGTTTAAACCAAACCATACAAGCAACTTTCTCAGGGATTCCTAGTTATTTGTAGTTTTAAAGTAGAAAACTAATGGCAATTTCATTCATTTCATTCATGATCTAATTACATTTGTCTTGTTAGTTTTCTTAAATGGTTTTTGTTAACTTTCACTCTTTAACTTTATTTTACTAGGGAAAAGAAAAAGTCCAAGCTAGATGAGTTTACAAATGATTTTGCTAAGGAATTGATGGAATACAAAAAGATTCAAAAGGAGCGTAGGCGCTCATTTTCCAGGTTAGTGTTTTGCAAGCCTTCACAACAGAATTACAAATGGGACTTTGAATATCCAGGGATTAGCTATGGATATAAACAACATTGCACTTATGAATTTTTTCTGATTCGGTCTAGGTCTATAGAAATGGAGATGTAACCTATTTCCCAATATCTGTTCACTGAAATAATGTCTCAATGTAAATTCTATTGTGTAGAACTAGCAGTTATGGGGATTAAATTGCCCTTGTCCCTTGAAGTTATTTGCAGTGTAAAATAATTGGGAAATGTTTATGGAAGGAAAGAATTAGGGAAATAACCAAAGAATATATCTGAGGACCCTTTTATCATAAGGCTACAGCTTCTTGCTGGAACATTAACCTGTGTGATTGTAAAGTAGTAGTAGAACACAAAGTGCTGTATTGATAGAAAAACTGAATTAGAAAAATTCCATACAAGTTTGCTTTAAAGATTTTTCTTAGCCTCACACTTAAAATGTGGTTCCTTTAAAGTTAGATTGTTGGCTAGTATAGGACAAAAGATGGACTCCTACTTTTAAATAATTAGATAGGAAGTGAAATTCAAATATGATTGGCATTTTGTTTAATGTTAATAAGCTCATATACTCACGGTACATTAATGCACTCCACTCTAGTTGTTAAGACTTCACTTTTGTTTTATAACAAATGATTGCTCTGCTTTGTGTATTTTATTCCATTCCAATAGAGGTCACTGTGCCTCTTTAATCACCTAAGGTGAAACTTGGTATTAACAAAAACAAAGATGAAACCGTGAGAAGAGAATGCTAGAATATTAGAGTCTGTATTCTATTTTGAATATATTTCTCAACTATCAATTATTGTTTTGTTTTTGTTTTTAGGTCTAAATCTCCCTATAGTGGTTCATCATATTCAAGAAGTTCATATACGTATTCTAAATCAAGATCTGGCTCAACACGTTCGCGCTCTTACTCTCGTTCATTCAGCCGCTCACATTCTCGATCCTATTCACGATCACCTCCATATCCTAGAAGAGGCAGAGGCAAGAGTCGCAATTACCGTTCACGGTCTAGATCTCATGGCTATCATCGGTCTAGGTCAAGGTCACCCCCATATAGACGCTATCACTCAAGATCAAGATCTCCTCAAGCATTTAGGGGACAGTCTCCCAATAAGCGCAATGTACCTCAAGGAGAAACAGAACGTGAATATTTTAATAGATACAGAGAAGTTCCACCACCTTATGACATAAAAGCATATTATGGGAGGAATGTTGATTTTAGAGACCCATTTGAAAAAGAACGTTACCGAGAATGGGAGAGAAAATACAGAGAGTGGTATGAAAAATACTACAAAGGTTATGCTGCTGGAGCACAGCCTAGACCCTCAGCAAATAGAGAGAATTTTTCCCCAGAGAGATTTTTACCACTTAATATCAGGAATTCACCCTTCACAAGAGGTCGCAGAGAAGATTACGTTGGTGGACAGAGTCATAGAAGTCGAAATATAGGTGGCAACTATCCAGAAAAGCTCTCAGCAAGAGACACTCACAATCAAAAGGATAATGCAAAGTCAAAAGAGAAGGAGGGTGAAAATGCTCCAGGAGATGGCAAAGGAAATAAGCATAAGAAACATCGAAAAAGAAGGAAGGGGGAAGAGAGTGAAGGTTTTCTGAACCCAGAATTATTAGAGACTTCTAGGAAATCAAGAGAACCTTCAGGTGTTGAAGAAAATAAAACAGACTCATTGTTTGTTCTCCCAAGTAGAGATGATGCTACACCTGTTAGGGATGAACCAATGGATGCAGAATCCATCACTTTCAAATCAGTGTCTGAAAAAGACAAGAGGGAAAAAGATAAACCAAAAACAAAAGGTGACAAGACCAAACGGAAAAATGATGGATCTGCTGTGTCCAAAAAAGAAAATGTCACAAAGCCTGCTAAAGGACCCCAAGATAAAATAGATGGAGAGCGTGAAAAATCTCCTCGGTCTGAACCTCCACTTAAAAAAGCCAAAGAGGAGACTCCAAAGACTGACAGTACTAAGTCATCATCTTCCTCTCAGAAAGATGAAAAGATCATTGGTACCCCCAGAAAAGCTCACTCAAAATCAACTAAAGAACACCAGGAAACAAAACCAGTCAAAGAGGAAAAGGTGAAAAAGGACTATTCCAAAGATGTCAAGTCAGAAAAACTAACCAATAAGGAAGAAAAGGCCAAGAAACCTACTGAGAAAAACAAACCACCTGATAGTAAGGGAGAGAAAAGGAAAAGAAAGACTGAAGAAAAAGGAGCAGAGAAAGATTTTGAATCTTCTTCTGTGAAAATCTCTAAACTCGAAGTAACCGAAATAGTGAAACCATCACCAAAGCGCAAAATGGAACCTGATATTGAAAAATTGGATAGGACCCCAGAAAAGGACAAAACGTCTTCATCAGCTGCCCCAGCCAAAAAAATCAAGCTCAACCGAGAAACCGGGAAGAAAATTGGAAGCACAGAAAATATAGCTAGTACAAAAGAGCCCTCCGAAAAGTTGGAGTCCACATCTAGCAAAGTTAAACAGGAAAAGGGCAAAGGAAAGGTCAAACGAAAAGTAACTGGAACTGAAGGATCCAGCTCAACTCTTGTGGATTATGCCAGGTATTATGGGAAGGCGGGAGCAGCTGTCCATCTCAGGAAATCACCCTGGAATTTTATCCATGCTTAAAAGTGTGTTTGGTAACAACGTGTGCCTAAAATGGGAATTAGGCTGGCTTACTCTTTCGTTATATTTAAACTGGGGTGGGGGGGGGGGCGGCGTATTATTAAAGATAAGGTTTCAAGAAGATTTGGGTGGTTGAACCACATTTGTTTTTAAACATTTGTGTATTCGAGCAAAATAATTTAGCTTTTTAAAGTTTTAAAGGACATTTATCATTAGTTCAGGTTATTTATCAGTTTTATAATTGGTAGAACATCCTTCCTTAATTAAAATTGTTTCTTTTCTTTTTAGTACGAGCTCAACTGGAGGCAGTCCTGTGCGGAAATCTGAAGAGAAAACAGATACGAAGAGAACTGTCATTAAAACCATGGAAGAATATAATAATGACAATACTACTCCTGCTGAAGATGTTATTATTATGATCCAGGTTCCTCAGTCCAAATGGGATAAAGATGACTTTGAATCTGAAGAAGAAGATGTTAAATCCACACAGCCTGTACCAAGTGTAGGAAAACCTGCCAGTGTTATAAAGAATGTTAGTACTAAGCCATCAAATACAGTCAAATACACAGAGAAAGAAAGTGAGCCATCAGAGAAAATTCAGAAACTCACCAAAGAGGTGAGCCATGAGATTACACAGCATGAAGTCAAAAGTTCAAAAAACTCTTCATCTAGTGAAAAGGGGAAAACCAAAGATCGAGATCATTCAGTGTTAGAAAAAGAAAACCCTGAAAAAAGGAAGAACAGCACTCAACCAGAGAAAGATAGTAATTTGGACCGTCTGAATGAACAAGGAAATTTTAAAAATCTGTCTCAATCTTCCAAAGAGACTAGAGCTTCAGAAAAGCATGATTCCATTCGTGGTTCCTCAAATAAAGACTTCACTCCCAACAGAGACAAAAAAACTGACTATGACAACAGAGAGTACTCAAGTTCCAAACGTAGAGATGAAAGAAATGAATTAACAAGAAGAAAAGACTCTCCTCCTCGGAGTAAAGATTCTGCATCTGGGCAGAAAAATAAGCCAAGGGAGGAGAGAGAGTTGCCTAAAAAAGGAACAGGAGATTCCAAAAAAAGTAATTCTAGTCCACCAAGAGAGAAAAAGCCTCATGATCAGAAAACCCCCTATGATGCTAAGCGCCCAAGTGAAGAGACAAAATCTGTAGATAAAAATCCTGGTAAGGATCGCGAGAAGCATGTGTTAGAGGCACGGAACAATAAAGAGTCAAATAATAGTAAATTACTTTATGTACTTAACCCACCAGACCCACAGATTGAAAAAGAACCAGTTACTGGACAGATTGACAAGAATGCTATCAAGCCTAAACCCCAGTTAAGTCATTCCTCCAGACTGTCCTCTGACTTAACTAGAGAGACTGATGAAGCTGCTTTTGAACCAGACTATAATGAAAGTGACAGTGAAAGTAATGTATCTGTGAAAGAAGAAGAAACTTCTGGAAACATTTCTTCTGGAAACATTTCTAAGGAGCTGAAAGATAAAATGATGGAGAAAGCAAAAGAGAGCCTGGACACAGCAGCAGTCCCCCAGGTGGGTGTAAGCAGGAGCCAGAGTCAAAGTAGCCCTAGTATTAGTCCAAGTAGAAGTCACAGCCCTTCTGGAAGCCAGACCCGAAGCCACAGTAGCAGTGCCAGCTCAGCTGAAAGTCAGGATAGCAAGAAGAAGAAGAAAAAGAAGGAAAAGAAAAAGCACAAGAAACATAAAAAGCATAAGAAGCATAAGAAACATGCAGGCACTGAATTAGAGTTGGAAAAAAGCCAGAAACACAAACACAAGAAAAAGAAGTCAAAGAAAAGCAAGGACAAAGAAAAGGAGAAGGAGAAAGATGACCAAAAAGTGAAATCTGTCACTGTGTAGGAGGACAGATTATTTTTAACTGACTTAATTACTAAGTCATCTGTATTAAATTTTGTTATAATGTAAAGAGATTCAAGCCTTGTAAATAATGACATGGAAGACCCTGTGCTGCACTTAAAATATTGCTGCTTGATTATTTGATTTTTACATCAGAGCTTTATAACACGAACTTTTGTACAGAACTGTGAGTGTGTGACCATGTAACATGAGAGGTTTTGCTAGGGCCTATTATTTTTAACCACCATTAATTAGTTGGGGTGGAGTTTACTGTACTGTGAAATTTTCACATTTGAATTTTTTTAATTGCCTGGCAAACGCTGATATAAGTTCTAAATATCAGCAGAATGATTTGCTGAATTCATTACAACCCCGTTATGTCACTTTTTGATTACAATAAAAGTTTTCAGTAAACTTTTCAAATGTTGAATATTCGCATTATTTAAAGAAAACAGTATGGTATCTCTTCCCTTTCCCTATTCAAAACATCTTTTGAGCCTTAGGCTGAATTGGATGTTTAAAATTTAATTTGGCACGTTGGAGATACAAAGGTGTGCTGGAGATAGGTGGCTGGAAATAGGTCAGGTCAGTTGGCGATATGGTTGAATAAATCTAGGGGATCTTGACTACAGTAGATAGAAGCTTCATTTCTTAAAAGGTTTGGGTTTACAACTTGGAGACAAGGAAGTGTGATTTATGACCGGAAGACTTGTCTTGAAATTTTGATAAGTTAGTATTAAATCTCTTGTAAAGGAGAATGCAGGTAAACCTGTGAGCATCCGTGGCCTGCCCCGTCTACCCAGTTGATAAGAGCAAACAGTAAGTACTAGATAAGACTGTGGTGGGTTATTGCTTTATTGCTGTGGTTCAGGAAGAATACTGTGAACAACAAAAAGGATCTAAGAAATGTACATAGGAGTTGCACTTAAGAAACACGTAAATGGGGATTATGTTCATCTTCATTTAGAAAAAATGGAGAACACTTGTGGTCTGGTAGTGATCCTGGAGGGCTTTGGTGGTTGAAGACAAGGCTTTATATGAGCAACAAGCTGCTGCCTAGCTCTGATTAAAAGCATTTCCAGACTCTGCCAGGTACACCACACTGTCTGCTGCTGTTGATGCGTGATTTTAAATGGCATACAGATAAACTTTTCTGACTGTGAGTGTGCATTTAGTGCAGCATTTTAACATATTGACTTAAAATTTGTACACAAGCACTGTAATCATGAAAGCCATTTAGGACTGAGAAATTTGGAAAGTATACTCTAGTAGCAATCAGATTTCTTTAAATGGACTGTGTATGTGTCTCCTTCACAGCAACAAGTGTGAGCTCAAAAGGTATGTGTCTGGTTTTTGTTCCAAAAACCATTCTATGCACCTAGTAATCAATAAATGTTTTAAATAATAAGATGACATAATTTTTTTAACTTTAAGGTAATTTTACCAGGCAAATTCTTCCCTACATAGTGGTTGAAATATGCCTAGGGGCCAGTAAAAGCATACTTCACTGCAATATGTCAGCTTCCCCCTACACCCCAAGGGAAGAAATTCATTTTTGAGCTACTGTAGATTTGAGAAATAGTATTCTCCCAGTAACCAGGAAACCATGTTTCAGTATTCCAAACTGTTAAAATCAGGTGCCTAAAATAGTTGCCTTGCTAGTGTTAGCAGATGAAGGGAGCTGAACCCCCTCCAGAATATTTAAGCCAGTGGTATCAGGTGGAAAGCGACGTAATGATTTATTCTTCCCAATTTGTGCAAGTGTTCCCAGGTATGTGTTGTCCCCTTTTACCTGTTTAGTTCATTTAACAAATGCTATTATTTTGCCCAACTCTATAGAAGAAAACCTCTGGAATGTGCTCTAAGACCTTCTTTTTACTATTGCCAGTTTGCTTTAGCTTCAGCACTTGTTTTTTAACAACAACAATAACAAAGCCTCAGGTGAGTATATAAATATGTGTGTTTTGAGTGTACTGCTTTGTAGGTCATAAACACCCCTTTGGCATCAGTTTTTCACATTTTTAAAATCATTTTTTTAACTGATCATATATCATTTCTTTGTGGTGAAAATTTTCAGAAATCTTTTCTGTAGCTTTAAGAAACACAGGACATTACTGTTACCTGTAGTCCCCCTACTGTGCAACAGCATACCAGAACCTCTGGCTCCCCCACTAACTGGTGTCCTCCTACCCATCAATCCACCTCTCCCCACCCCACCACCTACCAGTTCTCCCTGGTTCCTGGTAACCACCATCCAACTCTCAACTTCCTATATTCCACATATGTGTAAGATCATGAAGTACATGATCTTTGGCCTATTTCATTTAGCAAAGATCTCAAGTTTCATTCATGTCACAAGTGACAGGATTCTACCCTCTCTGATTGAATGCTGTTTCACTGTGTATTTTTACTACATTTTCCTTCTTCATCATTTGATGGGTACTTTGGGTATTTCCATTGGGGGTGGGGGGTAACGGTGAACAATGCTTCAGTGAACATAGGAGTGCCATATGTTTGACGATTTATTCCCGATTTGTGCAAGTGTTCTTCTGATCGCATCGGAAGCTATTTAGTGATTTATCTATGTATGCATACGTATAGCACTCCATATATATAAAGTAGTAGGATTGCTGGATCATGTGGCAACTCTAGTTTTAATTTTTTGAGGAACTCCATTCAGTTTTCGATAATGGACATACTAATAATGTACATTCCCTCCAACAGTGTGCAAGGGTTCCCTTTTCTCTACATCCTCACCAGCTCTTAGATTTTAAATTTTCTGTTAGGAAAGTATAGAATTAAGTAAGCCACTTAAATCCTTGATAAAGAGTAACATGGAGCTGGTATCTGTGAAGAACAATTTGAAATACTAGTAAGAAAGGGTTAAAGGGAATATTTCAAAGAATTCTTTGTAGTAATCTAAACAGTTTATCAAAACTCCTTTTTATTAGCCTTTGAAATTATTTTTATGATTATGTCAACAGAATTTTTTAAAGTGACAGGCTAATTCCTTTATGCACTTTTTAAAAACTTAATGGGAGGCGAACAGTGTTCTCCGCCTAGCCCAGAGCTTGCTCCTCCTCTCTTGGCAATGTGCCTGCCTTTGAATCGCCATGAAGTTGGCTTGGGCAGTATGAATCTCTTTCAATTCAGTTTTCCATTTTAAAGTCTTTAGTGGCAATTAGAGCATGGACATGTATTTAGGATTCCAAATAAAGTGTTCTCTTGCAGAAACATTTGACACCTTAATAAAATTGTAATAATTGACTAAATATATTTTAACACAAATTTAATGATGCCCAAAGCTGGTAGGTGTTTCCATGTCTTAGAAACTAATAAAAACAAATACGAAAATTAAAAGATAGGGTAAGGCTAAAAACCAGGGGAAAAATGGGATGGTAGAGAGCCACAAATGTGGGGGACTTCTGCCATATTACCACATCTAAACGATGTTTAAGAAAGAAGAAATGCAGACACCCATCTACTGACAGAGCTCTCTGCCTTAGAAAGCAGATGTACTCTTGGGAAGCTTAAGTAGATCGTGGGCATCATGAACACCCCGTGTTCCGGGGGAATGTTCACTTAGAAGTCACTTTAAATGTAACAATTGCACAAGTGGATCAGGAAGAGTAAGCTACTGTATTGATGGAGATGGAGGAAGAGTCCATCAACAGAACATTGGTTACAGCTGATCCCGGCTAGGAAGGAGGGCAGGCCACACAGATCTTATTAACCTGGCTGCTGTTGGGTGGGAAGGGAGACAGAATTCTCAAAGCATTATGGTATTGGTGCTAGAATAGACAAGTTAGTGGAATTGAATGTAACATCAGAAGTTGGACTAAATATAAAACTTTGAGCATGTGAAAAAGATAGATTCCCGCCCCACCCCCACCCTGTAAGCAGCTTTGAAAAAAAGTTTCTTAGGATTCTAGAAGGGATTTGGTGGGGGATGGGTGTGGTACTGGGGATTGAACCCAGAGGCTACCTCTGAGCTACTACACCCCAGCTCTTTTTTAATTTTTATTTTGAGACAGGGTCTCAGTAAATTGCCCAAGCTAGCCTTAGTGAGATCCACCTGCCTCAGCCTCAGCCTCTGTGGTAGGTGTAATAACAGGAATGTGCCACTGTGCCCAGCTGGATTAAATATTTTTTATAATTACATGACCCAAGGGTTAGCCTGTATTTCCCCAGTCTTCTGGGATCACCTTTAATAGCTTAGGTCATTTTTTCCAAACTGTTCAGTCAGTCAACTGGAAACAGGGATCTTCCCCAACAGTTTTAACAATTATTGTATGAAACCTGGTTTATCTTGGTTTGTTCCTTCTTGGTTCCTTGAGATATATTCCTGGTGCTGATTTTTCTCATCTCTCACTAAGTCTCAATCTTCACAAACTACGATATTTCTATCTTCTCAGAACATGGCCATGTTCTCTCACTTTTTCTTCCTTTTGTTTCCACACTGTAGGCTCTTCCACTTTTAAGCTGAAATTAGTCATTAAGGTTTGTTTTGTTTTTTTTTTTTTTTGAACCAAGAAACAGTTTCCCTGAGATATGGATTGTGCCATTGGAGAGCAGAAGAAGCTGCTGTTTTCCAAAATTGCAACTTTTTCTCCAGTCCAGTATTTAAAAATTATTTCAATTTTTATACAGAAATACAAATGGCCATTTTATCTGAAAAAAGTTAAAGTTAACCCCTCACAAGTAGTAAAGCAAAAATGTCAATAAAGCAATTTCATTGCCTTTAGGCTTTCAGACTAAACCCTAAGTCCAAAATTACATCTTTCTCCATCTTCCCACCACCTTGGCACGCATACACATCTCCCCTCTTCCATCCTCCAGATAAAAGTTTTGTCATTTAGGGTAAATCATAATGGAGTACATTATTACATATATTACAGATATAGAATAACAAAGCTTTTAAAAATTGTATACATATGCATAAATCTGAATATATATACAGAGTTCATAATTGAATTAATTGAATCATTTGGAATAGTAAAACGCCTTTCTGGGAACTTTTCTGAAATTATGAAAACTTTTTTAAGTGTTTCATTTTTCTAGGTTATCAGAAGCATAAACCTCCTCTTAGTATATTCAAATTAATGAAATATTTCATCAGTTTTATCTTTTTTCTTGGCATATTCCTCCTAGAATCTTTCTTCTTCCTATCCAAAAAAAACCACTGGTTGCCTGCTAGGCCTGCCACAGAGCTCAGTGCTGCCAGCTCCCGGGAGTTAACCGTGCCTTCTGCAGTGGGCCTGTGCCTTCCATTCTGTCTTTTTTGATTGCTTCCTCACTCAGTGGTGGAGGACACATAGTTTTTGTTTTTATTTTTTCTGACACATGCTCTTGTAAATTCCTGAGGAAGAGTTCATAGGAAGTCAATTTTCTTGAGTTCTTTAGACATAGTAGTTGGGTTATCC